CCACAGCGGGTGCGGGATCTTGCGCGCATCAGGTCGTGCTCGTGTGATGACCCACGACTGTTCCTCCGCTCGCGCTCGCGACAAGTCACGTTGACCGGCTGTCCCAGGTGCGCCGCCTCTTGACCGTCGACGCATGAGGCACTGACGATGTCATCTTCAGGATCGCCGCGGGAGTCTTTGCCGGGTAGCACGACGCTGCGCAGTCTGCACGCGGAGCATTCTGCGGCGCGGCGTCTCGTGCTCTGTACACGCTCGGTGTGCCGTCTTGGCGCATGAGCAACGGGCCACAATGCGTGTGCTGGTCAGAATCGCCCGCGCGCACCCTCAACAATATGCCGCTTGCTGGTGTCCCTATCGTGCTCAGGGGGAGGCGGCGTGAGCGGCGTGACGACATGAGAACGGATCAATAACGTTACGGCATGTATTCATTACCTGGTAACTTATTTTCGCGTAGCTGAGACAATGGGCGCCCGGTGAGCGGGAGAGCTGGGCGCGGTTCCTGCGATCGGGGGAGGAGACGGGGGCCAGTGTGCGTGCGGCGGCTAGACGCGAGGAAGATGGCGAGGTGTCAGACGCGCGCGTGTAAAGGAGCGGCGTGTTGCGTGATGCAAGCGCAAAGTGGGCGCGTCTCGGACTGGGCACCGGATGTATGTGCATGACCCTGCCGGTGTGCGGGTGTCGCCTTGCGCCACAGCGGGTGCATGGCCCTGTGATTCACTCTGACTCGCTTCTCTGTAACGTCCCGTCGACCGGCCGTCCCGCTTCCAGCTCACTCCAGGGCGGGCATCGCAGACCGCGCGCCGGGCAACCGTGCAGGTCGGATCCGTGTTGCCAGGTACGCCGCATGTTGGCTATGGATGCATGGAGTGCTGATGGCGCTGTATTCTAGACTCCCGTGCGAGGCCTCGTCTGGTAGCATAACTCTGCCCGGTCGCGCGCGTCCTAGGCAGGACACGAGCATCGCGCACGAGCATCGTGGTACGTACCTGTGGTGTAGCTGAGACGACGGCGGTGGTGGCGGTGCAGGAGACTGACGTGCGCGCGTCGAGAGAACGGTAGCGGCGGCATATCAGACGGGTGCGCTGAAGAAGGGCGCGCAGTGCCAGGCTGTTCTGCGGCAGACGGTGGAGGCAGAGACAAGGAACGGGGGGTGGCGCACCATACGATGCCATTGCGCGAGGCCGTCGAGCGAGACGCGACGGAGAGGGAGATGGCGCGGACGTCGTCGACGGGAGCTGAGGACGGAGGGCGTCGAGACAGGGTGATAGAGCGTGCGAGATCGACGGCGCGATGCGGGGATGAAGAGGTGGCCGAGGATACGGCGTGCCAAGATGCGTGAATGGAGGGCGGGTGGATGCAGCGACGGGCATTGAGCTCACCTAGCATAGCGTGTTCCCTGGGCCCCCTTGACGGCGCTCGAGGCGGCGGCATCAGGAAGTGGCGGGCGGAGCGCGTGTTGAGGACCGGGAGCGAGCGGGCATGAGTATTGCGCAACGGCGAGGTTTAGTCGGCGTACATTGTGGGTGTCCGGGCGTGCAGGCGCAGGTGAGCCATTGACCCGAAATCTGTAAAACAAAACCCTACATTCTGCTCGTTTTGTGAATAAGTACACCCCGCACATCATAGGTGAATGCCAGGGGCACTGACCTCGCCGTTTCCGCCTATTTCTGATTGTACCGGCCTGAAGAATCGGCGCGAGTTTCCGCACGCGTGTATGATGCTGATGCAGTAGTCGTGCGCCGTCATCATCTGTCATGCCACATGAATCTGCTTCAGGTGTTTAATATGTTAAATTTCTGCACGGCCGCATAGGGCACCGTCTCTTAGAACAACACAGCCTGCTGGTATTGTTACACGAACGCGCCATGATTTCACCCTTGTTACCATTTTGTACTCTTCATTCAGGATCCCGCCGCTGCATAGTCCGATGTTCCCGCACCATGTGCGAGTCTCTGTCCGACTCTCCAGCGACACTGAACACCTGAACATCGACACGGGCACCGAACATCCGGCGACCTGCACGCCTGCTATGGCAGCGCGTAGCAATGCGAACAAGGACGGAGGCAGCCCTTGCTCGCGCGCGCGCGCG